ATACTCTTCAGGACATCATCCAGGAAAATGTCCCCAACCTAGCGAGACAGGCCAACACTCAACTGCAGGAAATACAGAGAACACCACAAAGATATTCCACAAGAAGAGCAACCCCAAGGCACATAATCGTCAGATTCAACAAGGTTGAAATGAAGGAGAAAATACTAAGGGCAGCCAGAGAGAAAGGTCGGGTCACCCACAAAGGGAAGCCCATCAGACACACAGCAGATCTCTCGGCAGAAATACTACAAGCCAGAAGAGAGTGGGGGCCAATATTCAACATTCTTAAAGAAAAGAACTTTCAACCCAGAATTTCATATCCAGCCAAACTGAACTTCAGAAGTGAAGGAAAAATAAAATCCTTTGTGAACAAGCAAGTACTCAGAGATTTTGTCACCACCAGGCCTGCTTTACAAGAGCTCCTAAAAGAGGCACTACACATAGAAAAGAACAACCAGTACCAGCCATTCCAAAATCACACTAAATGTTAAGAGCATCAACATAATGAAGAATCTACAAAAACTAACGGGCAAAACAGCCACTTAGCATCAAAATGGCAGTATCAAATTCACACATAACAATATTAACTCTAAATGTAAATAGACTAAATGCACCAATCAAAAGACACAGACTGGCAAATTGGATAAAAATCCAAAACCCATCAGTGTGCTGTATCCAGGAAACCCATCTCACATGCAAGGATACACAAAGACTCAAAATAAAGGGATGGAGGAAGATTTACCAAGCAAATGGAGAGCAAAAAAAAGCAGGAGGTGCAATTCTCATCTCTGATAAAATAGACTTTAAAGCAACAAAGATCAAAAGAGACAAAGAAGGCCATTACATAATGGTAAAAGGATCGATACAACAAGAAGAGCTAATGATCCTAAACATATATGGACCCAATACAGGAGCACCCAGATACATAAGGCAAGTTCTTAAAGACTTAGAAAGAGACTTAGATTCCCACACAATAATAGTGGGAGACTTTAACACTCCACTGTCAATATTAGACAGATCAACCAGACAGAAAATCAACAAGGATATCCAGGGCTTGAACTCAGACCCGGAGCAAGCAAACCTGATAGACATTTACAGAACTCTCCACACCAAATCCACAGAATATACATTCTTCTCAGCACCACATCACACCTACTCTAAAATTGACCACATAATTGGAAGTAAAGCACTGCTCAGCAAATGCAAAACAACTGAAATCATAACAAGCAGCCTCTCAGACCATAGTGCGATCAAGTTAGAACTCAGAATTCAGAAACCGACCCAGAACCGCACAGCTTCATGGAAACTGAACAACTGGCTCTTGAATGTTGACTGGGTAAACAACGAAATGAAGGCAGAAATAAAGAAGTTCTTCGAAACCAATGAGAACGAAGACACAACATGCCAGAATCTCTGGGACACATTTAAAGCATTCTCTAGAGAAAAGTATATAGCAATAAGTGCCCATATGAGGAGAATGGAGAGATCCAAAATTGACACTCTATCATGAAAATTGAAAGAGCTAGGGGAGCAAGATCAAAAAAACTCAAAACCTAGCGGAAGACAAGAAATAACTAAGATCAGAGCAGAACTGAAGGAGATTGAGAAACGAAAACCCCTTCAAAAAATCAATAAATCCAAGAGCTGGTTTTTCAAAAAGATCAACAAAATAGACAGACCACTAGCCAGATTGATTAAAAAGAAAAGAGAGAACAACCAAATAGATGCAATAAAAAATGATAAAGGGGAAATCACCAGAGACTCCACAAAAATTCAAACCATCATCAGAGAATATTACAAACAACTCTATGCACATAAACTAGTAAACCTGGAAGAAATGGATAAATTCCTGGACTCCTGTGTCCTCCCAAGCCTAAACCAGGAGGAAGCTGAAACTATGAATAGACCAATAACAAGGTCAGAAGTCGAGGCAGCAATTAAGAGCCTACCACACAAAAAAAGCCCAGGTCCAGATGGGTTCACAGCCGAATTCTACCAGACACACAAAGAGGAGCTGGTACCATTCCTTCTAAAATTATTCCAAATAATCCAAAAAGAGGGAATACTTCCCAAATCATTTTATGAGACCAATATCATCCTGATACCAAAACCCGGCAGAGACCCAACAAGAAAATAAAACTTCAGGCCAATATCCATGATGAACATAGATGCAAAAATGTTCAATAAAATATTGGCAAGCCGATTTCAAAAGCAAATCAAAAAACTTATTCATCACGATCAAGTAGGATTCATCCTGGGGATGCAAGGCTGGTTCAACATACGCAAGTCTATAAACATAATTCACCACATAAACAGAACCAGAAACAAAAACCACATGATTATCTCAATTGACACAGAGAAGGAATTTGACAAAATACAACAGCCCTTTATGTTAAAAACCCTCAATAAATTCGGTATTGATGGAACGTATCTCACAGTAATAAAAGCTATTTATGACAAACCAACAGCCAATATCATACTGAATGGGCAAAAACTGGAAGCATTCCCTTTGAAATCTGGCACTAGACAAGGATGCCCTCTTTCACTACTCCTATTCAATATAGTACTGGAAGTTCTAGCCAGAGCAATCAGGCAAGAAAAAGAAATAAAGGGTATTCAAATAGGAAAGGTGGAAGCCAAATTGTCTCTATTTGCAGATGACATGATAGTATACCTAGAAGACCCAATCGCCTCAGCCCAAAAACTCCTGAAACTCATAAGCAACTTCAGCAAAGTCTCAGGATATAAAATCAATGTGCAAAAATCACAAGCATTCGTCTACACCAATGACAGACTTAAACCCAAATCAAGAACAAATTGCCATTCACAATTGCTACCAAAAGAATAAAATACCTTGGAATACAACTCACAAGGAACGTAAGAGACCTCTTCAAGGAGAACCACAAGCCACTGCTCAACGAAATCAGAGAGGACACAAACAGATGGAGAAACATTCCATGTTCATGGTTAGGAAGAATTAATATCGTGAAAATGGCTATACTGCCCAAAGTAATTTACAGAATCAATGCTATCCCCATCAAGCTACCACTGACTTTCTTCACAGAACTGGAAAAAACCACCATGAACTTTATATGGAACCAAAAGAGAGCCCGCATAGCCAAATCAATTCTAAGCAAAAAGAACACAGCGGGGGGCATCACACTACCGGATTTCAAACTATGCTACAAGGCTACAGTAATCAAAACAGCATGGTACTGGTACCAAAACAGAGATATAGACCAATGGAACAAAACAGAGACACCGGAGGCAACACAACATATCTACAACTATACAATCTTTGATAAACCTGACAAAAACAAGCAATGGGGAAAGGATTCCCTGTTTAACAAATGGTGTTTGGAAAACTGGCTAGCCATGTGCAGAAAGCAGAAACTGGACCCCTTCCTGACACCTTACACTAAAATTAACTCCAGATGGATTAAAGACTTAACCATAAGACCTGGTACCATAAAAACCCTAGAAGTAAATCTAGGCAAAACTATCCAGGACATAGGAGTAGGCAAGGACTTCATGAACAAAACATCAAAAGCATTGGCAACAAAAGCCAAAATAGACAAATGGGACCTAATCAAACTCCACAGCTTCTGCACGGCAAAAGAAACAGTCACTAGAGTGGATCGGCAACCAACAGAATGGGAAAAAATTTTTGCAGTTTACCCATCTGACAAAGGGCTGATATCCAGAATTACAAAGAACTCAAACAGATTTACAGAAAAAAAACAAACAAGCCCATTCAAAAGTGGGCAAAGGATATGAACAGACACTTTACGAAAGAAGACATATCATATGAAAAAATGCTCATTGTCACTGGTCATCTGAGAGATGCAAATCAAAACCACATTGAGATACCATCTCACGCCAGTTAGAATGGTGATCATTAAAAAATCTGGAGACAACAGATGCTGGAGAGGATGTGGAGAAAAAGGAACACTTTTACACTATTGGTGGGAGTGTAAATTAGTCCAACCATTGTGGAAGACAGTGTGGCGATTCCTCAAGGCCTTAGAAATAGAGATTCCATTTGACCCAGCAATCCCATTACTGGGTATATACCCAAAGGACTATAAATCATTCTACTATAAGGACACATGCACACGAATGTTCATTGCAGCACTGTTTACAATAGCAAAGGCCTGGAATCAACCCAAATGCCCATTGATGATAGACTGGATTGGGAAAATGTGGCACATATACACCATGGAATATTATGCAGCAATCAGAAATGATGAGTTTGTGTCATTTGTAGGGACATGGATGAATCTGGAGAACATCATCCTCAGCAAACTGACACAAGAACAGAAAATGAAACACCGCATATTCTCACTCATAGGCGGGTGATGAAAAATGAGAACACATGGACACAGAGAGGGGAGTACTAAACACTGGGGTATATTGGGGGGAAAAGGGGAGGGCCAGTGGGAGGGGGAGGTGGGGAGGGATAGCCTGGGGAGAAACGCCAAATGTGGGTGAAGGGGTGAAAGCAAACAGAACACACTGCCATGTGTGTACCTATGCAACTGTATTGCATGCTCTGCACATGTACCCCAAAACCTAAAATGCAATAAAAAATAAGAAAAAAATAATAATAAAAATAATGGCAAAAACTGCAATGACTTTTGCACCAACCTAATAGTTTATATATATATATATATGTATGTATGTATTTTCTAACATGCATTAAAATAAATGCATCATAACTCTTCAGATTCTAAGGTGTCTGTATACCACCTAAAATTGTCCTGCACAGCACCAATGGTACACACACTGCACTTGGGGAAATGCTGGTTTTACAAAGCACACAGAAACGTGGAAGGAAAGGCTGTATTCCAGCCCTGGCTGCAAACTCTAAGTCAATTACTTCAGGCACCTCTTGAGGCTCAGAGAAGTGGCTAAAGACATTCTCAGGAGGAATGGAGGTAGGACCAGGGTGAGGCTCAGTGGATTGAGTTTCCTCCCACCCCTACCACTACCCAGATGTGGAGCTGGACATTCAGAGGAACCTGCAGGCTGTGCTCCCTGGGCTAAGCACCCTGGCCCCTGCCCTGCAAAGCAACCAAGGTAAGAGCCAGCTAGCGGCAACAGCTGCTCCCCCTGACCTCCACCCCACCCCAGCCAGCTCCACACACACAACCAGGAAAGGGCCCCGGCCCGGAGCTCATGGGGCGAGGGTCTTCTAGCAAAACCTCTTTCCTGCTGGAACACCTAGAGCCTAAAGGACTGAGAAGACTTCTTTGCTCCCTAGTTCAGCCCTCCCAGCAACTGCCACAGAGCACACAGGATCTGCCACCCTCTTTTACCCCTTTTTGTTTGTTTATTTTGGGGATGGAGTCTCATTCTGTTGCCCAGGCTGGAGTGCAGTGGCTCAAACTTGGCTCACCGCAGACTCTGCCTCCCGAGTCCTAGTGATTCTCCTGCCTCAGCCTCTTGAGTAGCTGGGATTATGGGAGTGCACCATCACACCCGGCTAATTTTTGTATTTTTAGTACAGACTGTGCTTTGCCATGTTTGCCAGGCTGGTTTTGAACTCCTGACTTCAAGTGCTCTACCTGTCTCTGCCTCCCAAAGTGCTGGGATTATAGCCACCACGCCCCACCTGCCACCTTCTTTCTTAACTACCTTTCCTAGGTCCACTTCCAAACCTAATTCCCCTTGGCACTCCAGGCCTGCAGGACTTCCAGCATGTGGCTGGGGACACACCTGCAAGCACTGCTGCTCTGTGCCACATGACATCTTGCATGTCACCTGCCCCCACTTGCATCCCACCTGCCCTCATTTCTTCCCTGGGAGCTCACTGTCCAACAAGGGCTGCAGATCAGAACTCCCCCCATGGAAGGAGCCCATGCAGGCACACCTGGACCAAGTACTGGTGGTGGAGTCAGACCTGTGGCTGGTCAGAGCTGCAGCTGGGGCTCCAGGGCTCAGGGTCCCACTCAGAGGGGTCTCCTCTAAGAGCCCCCTGCCCACCTGGCCATGCTGGGCTCCCCTTTCTCCTGGCCCAGGCATGTGGAGGTGGTCCCTGCACAAGAAGGTCGAGCGAGATCCTAGTAAGAGCCCAGCACTGGTCCACATTCTGCTCAGAGAACTGGAGAAGGTGAGTTCCTAGACCTCCAGGAGGAAAACGGAGATGAAAGGAAGAGAGGGGCCAGTTGGGCAGGGACCCAGTCCTGGCAGCTCTGTGTCTCCCAAGCTTTGGTAGCCTGCATGATTTTTACCATGTGCATCTCCCTCCTGTACTTTTACATAAGCAATATTTTCTTTACATTGATTCCTACTGTTTTACTTGAATAAACATATTTCAAAAAGAAGCACCATAACACAACCACAAAAGGAAAACCTGTATCACTTGTCAGAAACAGAAGGTACCTATAAACATAAATATATGACTATTGACATTTCTCAAAATTATCCTCGGACCACATAGATTATCCTCCACACTACCCCATAAATATATGACTATTGACATTTCTCAAAATTATCCTCAGACCACATAGATTATCCTCCACACTACCCAATGTTCTGCTTGCAACTGTTTGGGAAACACTGCACTCCAAGCTGGGGCTTGTTTATTGCTTTGCTGTGGCTCCTTCCCTGATGGAATTTGGCCCATCCCCTGCAGACCTCTCTGAGGCCCCTCATGCTCCCACACCCTCCCTGAGGGGCTCCCACACCTGTCTGCCTTCCGCTCCCTGCTCTCTATCCAGAGCAGATGATGGCCCTTTGCTCTCCTCCTGCCCACCACCAGCCTAGACTACCTCCTGCTAGGAGTGGGGAGTCCCCCAGCCCAATACCTGTCATGTGATCTCCTGTTTTCCAGGTGGAAAGTGAGGGCCTCCAGCATGTCATCATTCCCTTGCTGCACACTGTAATGTACGTGCTTACCAAGGTGAGCTGGGGGCTGAGGTTAATGTGGTAGTGGTGACCTGCATGTGGCTGAGCCGGACACTGTCCTTTCTCCTTAGAGGGCAGGATGAGCCTAGAAAATCCCTTGGACTGCCTGCCTTAAAATGGCTTCTAAGCACTAGCCACCCCCTTTTCCTCCTATGTGGAGAGAGAACTTTGAAGAGTGGCCTTGAATGGCAGGATGAGGTCTTTGGGTTTGCTCATGTGTGCAATGCAACAGGAGACATTACTGATCCCTACACAGAGAAGAGACACGATACAGACGTGGTTAATGTCTCAGGACGAGTCATTGGGAGCTGGTTATTGTTGCAGGGGTGGGAGTGGTGGTGAAGGAAGGCAGGAAAGGCAAGTCTGGGGTTGCTGGAGGGTCCATGGTCAAGATGTGGCTTGGCTCCGGCAGAGGCAGAGGGCACACTGAGGTGGGGAGGGCGGACTCTAGGGTACTGCAGAGCATCTCAGGCCTGTGGGATGTAAGGATGAGCAAAGGAGGCTGAAGAAGTGCCTCCAAGGTTCTGAGCCTGGAGGACCACAATAATGTGCTTCTCTGATGGAGCAGTAGGGCGACGAGGGTGGGTGGATGGAGTTGATTTGCTTGCAGAACTTGTTGCAATGAATTTTTATCTTGGTAAGTTGGAACGCGGAGACAAAGGGATGTCTTACAGGTACTGGGGAAGAAGCTGGAAGGTGTGGGTTTGGGAGAGAGCTGTGAGCCCAGGTCTGGCTGTCAGGTCTGACCTTCTACCCCTTCTCCTAAGCCCTTCCCCAGAAACTCCCACATCACCCTTCACCTCTCCCTCCTTCCCCGCTCTCATTCAGGCCACAGGAATCACAGAGGAGCTCTCCCAGAGAACCTATGCCTTTTGAACAAGATTGCTGACCCTGCCCACCCCTTACTGCACAGTCGCCTTGGACTGCATGACAAGGCTGAAAACGGAGACGGCCGTCCCAGATAAGAGCCATTGGGCATGTTTGTCTCCAACACTGCCCAAGGTCTTACCTTTTTCTCCAGGATACCAGGGAGCTCAAAAGCCTCCACACCTTCTGTAAGAAGGGGGAGAATGGGAATAAGAGACTTGGAGGCTGGTTGACCAAAGTGGTCTGGTTTGCAGGGACACTGTACCAAAGGATGGTCATTGCCAAACAGAACTTGATGAATGAACCATATCCCTACCAGGAGAGGTGAGTGGCCCCAGAAAAACTGCTACCTTCAGCCTCCTAAAAGTTCCATGGCTTTAGTGACTCCTCCCTGGCAGGAGGACAAAGGGGGAGGCTGGATTAAGCAGAGCCCTAGCAGACCTTCCCAGCCATGACATTTGTCCAGCAGTGGAGTGCATTTGCAATTCAAGATTGGTGTGCCATATTGTATTCTGGACACCACTGACAGCAGGATAGGTCTTTCTTCTCAGGTTGGATTTGAAGCTACCCTGCTCACATGCAGAATGTGGACATGGCCTTGTGGCCAAACTGGAGCTCTGATCCACCTCCATCCTGCCCTTGGCAGGATCCAGCATCCTTCCAGCCAGGCAGCTGGAGGAGACTCCAGAATAGCCAGAGTGGAGGGGCTCAGGTGCAACTGCACAATGAAGCCTGAGGGCTTCCATGGGGGACGTCCAGCCCCTTAGATAAGACTCTGCACAGGAAGTGTCCCCTGATCCTGTTGGGGACAGGGGTGATGAAATTGGGAGTGGCACCTCCCTTTTCTTCAGGCACCTCCACTAACTTTGCTCTGAAAGGCACAGCTTGAGCTTGGGGTGTGAGGTGCTGTGTTCATGAAGGATGTATGGAAGCCCAGAGCACCCAGAGGACTTAGCATGGGAGAGGTGGGGAGACATCCTGGGAGAGAAGGAGGGAGTAGGGGAGATCAGTTCTCTGGTGTGATAAGGGTGATGAGAGAAGGTGGGATTCCCTCAGGGTTCAGAGGTCCAATTCTGGCAGGAAAGATTTAGGGTCCCTCCTAGAAGGTGACCTGGTCACTGGGCCAGGATGCTGAGAGGGGGAGCAGAATTGAGGCTAGAACTTTCTTAGACACGGGACTAGGCCTGCTTTCCTCTGAGGACAGTGGATTAGAGCTGCCCCCTCAAGAAGGGCTGTGCGTGCTCATTTGTCACAGTCCTTACCACTCCCCATTGTCATCCCCCCAGAGACTTCTGAATTGAAGACTCCTCTTTTTAGCAGAATTAAATTACTTGGGGGTGCTTCACAGCTCTGAGCGTGCCCATCTGGTGACCCCTCTCCCATTAGTTACTATCAATCCCACTCCTCTCCTCTGCCTCTGCTCTCAGAGTGTTCCTCTTCGTGGATCCTGAGCTGGTGTCTGCCTCTGTGTGCAGTGCTCTGCTACTGGAGATGAAGGCAGCACAGGTGCAGCAGAGGCCAGAGGCCTGCATGTGGCACGTGGTCTCCCATGCCCTGCAGGTGGCTCTGGGGGAGGCCTGCCATGAAGGTGTTCTGCACAGGAAGCTGCAGGTAGTGGCCCTGCCTGTAGCCCCTTGTCAGGTCCAACCCTGATCCCTGCACACCCATACCAGTCACTCACCCTGCTCTTCCTCCTTCTCCTGTTTCACATCACATTTTTCCCCAAATCAAAAATTAATACATTTTGGCTGGGCACGGTGGGCTCACAGCTGTAATCCTAGCATTTTGCGAGGCCGAGTTGGGTGTATCACCTGAAGTCAGGAGTTTGACACCAGCCTGACCAACATGGTGAAACCTTGTCTCCACTAAAAATAGAAAAATTAGCTGGGTGTGGTGGCACACATCTATAATCATAGCTACTCAGGAGGCTGATGCAGGAGAATCTTTGAACCCTGGAGGTAGAGGTTGCAGTGAGCCAAGATCGTGCCACTGCACTCCAGCCTGAGCGATACAGCGAGACTACACTTCAAAATAATAATAAGAAGAAAAAGATATCAGGCAATGTCAGTATTCCTAGCAGCAGGGTGAATGAGTGTCTCAGTCCCAAAAGCAGGAATCTGTGTCACCACAACAGTGGCTACTACATCATCTCACTCGGAGTTAAAGCCAGTCACTGCAATGACCTATAAAAGCCTGGTGCAGTAGCCCATGCCTATAATCCCAGGCACTTGAGAGGGCAAGGTAGGAGGATTGCTTGAGGCCAGGAGTTTGAGACCAGCCTGGGCAACATAGCAAAACCCCATTTCTACACATGATAATAATTTTTAAAAAGCCAGGTGTAGTGACATGTGTTTGTAGTCCCAGCTACTCAGAAGGCAAGAGGATCACTTGAGCCAAGTTCAAGGCTGCAGTGAGCTTTGATTGTACTCTAGCCTGGGTGACAGAGAGGCACCCCATCTCTAAAAACCAAAATAAACTGTCTCCAAGAACCTCATCTTGAGGGCCTTGACCTGTCCCCACTTCGCTACATTTTCTCTCTGGCCTGTCTCCTAACTTTCCCTTTCATTTCCTCTGCTCCAGCTATACAAGCCTCCTCATTTTTCTCCCAACATGCGCAGGCCTGACACTTGCACCCAGGACCTTTGCGTGTGCTGCTCCCTGTGCTTGGAATGTTCTCTCGGATACCTGTGTGGCTCACTCTTTTGCTTCCTTTACGTCTTTCCTTAAAAGTCACTCAGGGAGGCTTCCCAGATGACAAAATCTAAATAATTTAGCCCCTCCCTCAAATTCCACATCCTCCTTCTCTGCTTTATTTTGTCTTTGGTGCTATTGTTGTTATTTATTATACCATAAATTTTTCTTATCTTGTTGATTGCCTGCTCTTTCTGCCATATACATACTGTAATAGGAGCTCCCATTTTTTTTCTCTGAGATGGAGTCTCACTCTCTCACCCAGGCTGGAGTGCGATGGAGTGATCTCAGCTCACTGCATCCTCCACCTCCTGTGTTCAAGCGATTCTCCTGCCTCAGCCTCCTGAGTAGCTGGGATTATAGGCACACCCCACCACACCCAGGTAATTTTTGTATTTTTAGCAGAGACAGGGTTTCACCATGTTGGTCAAGCTGGTCTTGAACTCCTGACCTCAAGTGATCTACCCTCCTTGGCCTCCCAAAGTGCTGGGATTACAGGCATGAGCCACCGTGCCTGGCCCCCAAATTTTTGTCCATTTTGTTTGCTGCTATATCCCAGCTCCTAGAACAAGCCTGGTGCAGTAAGCTGTACTAAGTTAAGTGCTGGAGATGCAGCTGTGAACAAAACAGCCAAAACTCCCTGCCTTCCTGAAGTTGAGTCTAGTGGTGATCCAAGTGCTGGGTGACACTTTCAGGTGGTGGGCATCAGCGGCCACCTCTACCCCTCTGGGTAACAGATGTCGCAGACCTGCAGTCTCCCCATAATAGGGAATGAGAGGCAGGCTTGGGGCCCTGGACGTGAGATCCAGAAGCCTTTGGGGGAAGCTCCTGCCGGTCCCCCAGGGAAAGCAGGGAGGTGTCACCTTGGGCTACCAGAGCCCTTCGGACTTGGCTTAGCAGCTGGGGTTTGTAGGCGCTGAGCCAAGGCCCAGGCTCTGACGCCCCTCCCCAACAGGCCAGCTCCCCCCATACCCTGGAGCACTATTTCCATGCCATGGTGGCTGCTGTGGAACAGATGGCCAGCGAGGCCAGCCGGAGCCTGACAGGACATGTGGAGAGGCTGGAGGAGATTTACTGCTCGCTGCTGGGGCCAACTGTGGGGCACTGCTGCGGTAAGCAATGGGATGATGGGGGACCCTGCCAAGGGCCCCACAGGGGTAGATCACTGCACCAAAGGGGGAACCAGAGAGCAGCGCTGGACCTGCCTCTGTCTGCGTGCTTGGCCAACTCCTAAGAGCCTGAGGACTGGGGACAGCCCAGGGATTTGACAGGACCAGGACTAAGAAGCCAGGTAATTAGGCTGGGTGCAGTGGCTCACGCCGGTAATCCCAACACTTTGGGAGGCTGAGGCAGGCAGATCACCTGAGGTCAGAAGTTCAAGACCAGCCTAACCAACTTGGTGGTTCAAGACCAGCCTAACTCCGTCTCTACTTAAAGTGAAAAAAAAATCAGCCAGGAGTGGTGGTGGGTGCCTGTAATCCCAGCTACTTTGGAGGCTGAGGCAGGAGCATCACTTGAACCTGGGAGGCAGAGGTTGCAGTGAGCCAAGATAGCACCTCTGCACTCTAGCCTGGGTGACAAAGTGAGACTCCATCTCAAACAAAAAAAAGGAAGGTGTGTAATTTAGTCATGATAACAGCTGACACCCCCAGAGCCCCTACTATATATACCCCAGCTGCTGTTCTAGTCAGTTTATATATATTTAAATATATTGCCCATACTGTATTAAATCAATGAAACCTCAAAGGCAACTTATGAGACAGAAACGATTATTATCCCCACCTTACAGCAGATGAAACTGAGTTACAAAGAGGTTAAATATCTTATCCAAGATCACCCAAGGCAGTAAGTGGCAAAGCCAGACTGTCTAGTTCACCACTCTGCTGTAGTAATCAAGAGTTGATCATACAAAGACCAAAGCATCTAAAAGAGCAGAGGAGTCAACATCGTTTATATCTGGTATCATAGATTTTTATTCCTCACACTTCCTATTTGCACATTTATAAGATATCGCCTTATCTTATGCAAGGTGATATCTTATAAATGTGCAAATAGGTAAGATAATGCCTACCCTGACACAAGCCCCATGTAGATGGGGACATCTGAAATAGACTAGAGAAACGTCCCAAATGTGTGTTTCCTGGCTGTTGTAGGGTGGTTCTGATTTGGGTCCTGTTTCATGGTCACCCAAAATATCACGGAATGTGTCAGCCTGCATGTCCCAGATATGTATGGTCACTGATCGTGCACCTGTAGTTGTGCCCAGGAGGTCAAGGCTGCAGTGAGCCATGATCACACCACTGCATAAGGCATGGGGTTAAGGACTGGGATCCACTGGAAGAGGTTAGTGGGCCAGGCCCTGGGTTTGAATTTGGCAGCCCAGGTTGGGTGGAGGCCACAGACGTTGGGTGAGGTGGGCAGGATAAAAACTGCCTAAAGACTCCATCTTCCCAGTTTTCCACTCTTTCGCTTTAACATTCTGCACTGCCTCCAATCCCACATGTAAAAGGCTGTTCCCCCCTTCTCTAGAAGCTGGGACACACTCTGGGGCCAATCTGCCTTTGCTCCTCTATGGCCCCTTGCTGACATTCACCAGTGATTGCCTGGATCAGGCAAGACCATCTGGGCTGCCCCCAAGCCACATCCAGGGACACCTGTCTCCTGCCTAACCTGCCCTGTGCATTTTTGTTTTGTTTTGTTTGTTTTGTTTTGAGATTGGGTCTCACTCTGTCATCCAGGCTGGAGTGCAGTGGCTCCATAATGGCTCACTGCAGCCTTGACCTCCTGGGCTCAAGCAATCCTCCCACCTCAGCTTTCTGAACAGCTAGGACCACAGGCACGTGCCACCACACCTGGCTAAGCCCTGTGCATCTTAATGACCAGGCAGCACCCCCATCAAGCCCATGGCTGTAGGGGGAAGTATGGAGCAGTGGTTATAAGCACAGTGTTGTGGGTAAGAGCAGAGACTCTGGAGCTGAGCTGCTCAAGTCTTCACTCTGCTGTTTACTATGTGATCTTGGGCCAGTTTTCAACCTCTTCATGTCCTGGCTCCTTCCCTGTAAACTGAGGAGAAAAATGTCACCTGTCACCAGAGCCATTGGCAAGATCCAGAGAAATGATTACAGTGTGTGCCAGGTGAGTAAAACGAGGCCTGGCAGGCAGTAGTAGGTGCTCAGTGAACACCAGCTGTTCTCCCCTAAGAAGCTTGCAGCCTCATGGAGAAACCACAGCAACATAGAAATGAAATGGGAATACAGAGCCAAATCCTAAGACCACATGTGAGGTCCAGTGTGCAGACAAAGTTTACTCAGAGGGAATGACCACCGTGGGCCTCTGGAGTGGTCAGAAAAGATTCTAGAAAGAGGAGCAGGAAGACAGGCTGGCCTTGGTCTCTCCCTTGGACTACCCAGGGTTCCTGCTGCCCCCAGACTTTGCTGATGAGATCTCTTTAGCATCACTGACAGCAGCAAATGTTAATTGAGTGTCTACTGCATACAAGATATTGGAAGCAGCCCTGAGAAGGGCTGAGGTCTTTTCTGCCTTGTCTGGATGCAGGCAAGGCATTTTAAGAACAGCAGGAGGCTGGTCATGGTAGCTCACACCTGTAATCCCAGCACTTTGGGAGGCAAAGGCAAGTGGATCACCTGAGGTGAGGAGTTTGAGACCAGCCTGGCCAACATGGCGAAACCTAGTCTCTACTAAAAAATGCAAAAATTAGCTGGGTTTGGTAGCAGGTGCCTGTAATCCCAGCTATTCTGGAGGCTGAACCCTCTGCCTCCCAGGTTCAGGAGAATTGATTAAACTCAGGAGGCAGAGGTTGCAGTGAGATGAGATTGCACCATTGCACTCCAGCCTGGGAGACAGAGCAAGACTCTGTCTCAAAAAAGAAGAAAAAAAGAAAACAATAGTGTGAAAGCCAGTCTGGTGGTTGCACAGGGCTGAAGGCATGGCCAGCATAGGAGAATAGGTTGGAAAAGGCCTTGTGAGCTGGTTTCTAAAGACCCCTAAGGGCTGAGTTAGGTTTGTAGGAAACATAGCTGCTAAGCATTGTTGGACAGGGAGGGAACACCTGCACTGTTGGGCCCTGGATAGGCAGGTGGTGGCAGAAATGGAAAGGCAGACCAGATGTGAAGGGGAGAGTCCCTGCCACCCTTCTAAGAACCTGCACAGGAGCTGGGCAGGGTAGGGAGGGCAGAGGAGGCTCCCACACCCCTCTCCTCCATGGCCTCCATAGCCTGCTCCTTTCTGCAGGTGACCCTGTCCAAGAGTGGCCACCAAGCATTCCCCTGCCCAGCCTTTCCATAACCTTCCACCTGTGGACTGGCAAGGAGCAGCTCTGTACGTACCCATGCAGCTGGCTGGAAACAGTGGTATACGTCTGTGTCCATGTGTATATATGCATGCATGTGTGTGTGTCTGTGTCTGTGTCTGTGTGTGCATGTGTGTCTGTCTATAGATGTGTGTATGCATCTATAAGTGTGTCTGTGTGTGATGTGTATTGTCTGTGTGTCTCTGTGTTCATGTGTGTGTCTGTGTGTGGGCATGTGTGTGTATGTCTGTGTCTGTAGATGTGTGTATGCATCTGTATGTCTTTGTGTGCATGTGTCTATGTGTGCATGTCTATGTGTGTGCATGCATGTGTCTATGTTTGCATGTGTGTCTGTGTCTGTAGATGTGTGTATGCATCTGTGTGTATGTGTGTGAGTGTGGATGTGTGTCCTCATGTATCTCTGTGTGTGTCTGTGTTTCTGTGTGTGTGTATCCTCTGAGGAGGACTGACTGAAATCAGAAATGTAAGCTGCCAGCCTCACATGTCTTCACCGCCCTTGTTCCACCATCCCAGGGAAGGAACTGGTTCTCTTTCTCCACCCAAGATCTCAGCTGCACCTCAGTACTGACTTGGAGATCTTGAATCTGCAGGGCCTCCGGCCAGACCAGGAGTTGGCCTGGGTGTCCGTGTTGTCCACCGACAGTGGCATCAAGTGGGACCTTCCCCTGGGTGCTGATGAGCTACCTGCACCCAGCAGCCCCGAGATGGAGCAAGCTGGGCTGCAGTGCAAAGGAGGCATTAAGAAGCATGTGTGGCCCCTGGACTTCTTGATGCCTGGAAGCTGGGATGGGCCCCCAGGTCTGCACCGGAGAACAGGCAGGCCCAGTGGGGATGGGGAAGTGCTTCCTGGTGTCTCTCAGCTGCACACAGTCTGGGTACTTGTGCTGGGAGATGACAGAATGCTGGGGCACCTGGCCTAGGCCTACCATAGACTCAGGTGGGGCCCTGAGGTGAGGGTAGGGGAGTGGGTGCTGGCCAGGGCACAGGTGGGCCTTGCATGGGCTGGTGAAGGATCACAGGGTGGCAAGAGAGGGACAGGAGGCACAGGCCAGGGTGGGACAGAGAAGGATGCCATGCAGTGCTGCACAGCCATCACAGAGCACCCAATCACTGCTTTACATTCATTAGCACCATGAACCCTCACCAGCCTTCGAGGAAGACATTACTGTACTCATTTTATAGATGAGAAAGCAGATGCTCAGAAAGATGACACAGATTGCCCAAGGTCAAGAGATAACACATAGCAGAGCCAAGTCTGTTAGAAGCCAAGCCCTGCCCCTAACCTCCTCTGCTTTGCTGCTCATTGCTAGGAAACAGGAGACCCAGAAGTTCTGCCTCACTCCCAAACTCAGCCTGCAGCTCTACTACATCCCAGTGCTGGCACCTGAGGTGACTGGACTGCGGGGAGGCAGTGGTGGGGCAGAGACAGGGCAGGCTGGGCAGGGACACAACTGCATCCTCCCATCCCCCATATCCCCACCTCAGGGACTAGAATCAGCATCCTTAGAATGTGGAGGCGGGAGAGGCCAGCCGGGCAACATGGTGAAACCCCGTCTCTATTAAAAATACACAAAATTAGCTGGTGTGTATTAGCTGGTGGGATTAGATGGTGGGCACCTGTAATCCCAGCTACTCGGGAGGCTGAGGCAGGAGAATTGCTTGAACCTGGAAGGTGGAGGTTGCAGTGAGTCAATATCACACCACTGCACTCCAGCCTGAGTGACAAGAGCAGAACTCCGTGTTAAAAAAAAAAAAAAGAAAGAAAGAAAAAAGAAGGTAGAGGTGGGAGAGGTGTCACCAGTCTTCTATTTCAGAGGCTGCAGATGGTGCTCTGGGGGCTGAATGCCCAGAGATTGGGTCTCTCTCTTGTTGGCAGCCTGCTTGCTGCTGCTATTTGTTTTGCTTTTGTATGTAATGGCATTAGTTGCAAACTTTTCAAACACAGGACTCTCTCTCTCCCTCTCTGTTTCTCTCTTTCTCTCTCCTTCTCTCCCCTCTCTCATATACACACATACATACATACCCCACACTTTCTGGTCCAACACAAAAGGAAATTTCAGGCAGTGAAGTCCATTAATCCAGTTGTGGGGACGCAGGTCTTACTTCCTACTGCACGTTGTCTCTCCCCGTTTAAGGTTGATCATTTTTCAATGTCCCTGGTGAGTGGACCTCAGCAAAAGATATTCTAGCTTCATCTGAGTTTATAAGACAGAACAACAATTCATCTTCACATGCAGAAATTGAGGCCCCAAGAGATTAAATGACTTGGCCATATTCACACAGCCTAGGCTGATGGCAGCTGGAAGGCAGAGCCGGAAGGGAGGGCCTGATATGTCTGCCCCATCTCCTTTCTCCCAGAAGCCTGCAGCATCCAGGCAGCCAGAGCTGGGAGAGCTGGCTGCGTTCCTGGGCCACGTAGATCCATGGTACCAGAGCACCGTCAATACACTGTGCCCCGCCATCCACAAGCTGGCTGAGATGGTAGGGGAGGGTGAGGTACCAGGGAGGGAAAGAGGGAGGGATATGGAGTCTGGGCAGAGGGGAGGATGGAAGAGCCCAGAGAGGGTGGGATGGGGGTGAGAGCAGGCTATCTTTTCGCTGCTGCACTTGACCCTTGACCTCAAGAGTCCAGTGAGATGAGGCAGGAAGGAAATGCGAGAGGGGCCCTAACCAGCTAGTGGCTTTGAACTGACTCATAAAACACTTACCAGATGCTTACTCTGGATTGGACCACTGTGGAAAAGACTAAGTAAAATATTCTTTAATAAGTGTGTAGGGCAATTATATTTCTTCTTGTACGAGCTTCCTGTGATCCTTTTTCTTTATCATTTTTTTATTTTACTTTAAGTTCTGGGGCACATGTGCAAAACGTGCAGGTTTGTTACCCAGGTATACATGTGCCATGGTACTTTGCTGCACCTATCAACCAGTTATCTAGGTTTTAAGCCCTGCATGCATTAGATATTTGTCCTAATGCTCTCCCTCCCCTTGCCCCTGACCCCTGACAGGCCCTGGTGTGTGATGTTCCCCTCCTTGTGTCCCTGTGTTCTCATTGTTCAACTCCTACTTATGAGTGAGAACATGCAACATTTGGTTTTCTGTTCCTGTGTTAGTTTGTGAGAATGATGGTTTCTGGCTTTGCCCATGTCCCTGCAAAGGACATGAACTTATTCTTTTTTATGGCTGCATGGTAGTTCATGGATCATATGTGCCACAATTTCTTTATCCAGTCTATCATTGATGGGCATTTGGGTTGGTCCCAAGTCTTCTTTATCATAAATAGTGCTGCAATAAACATACATGTGCATGTGTCTTTATAGAAGAATGGATCCTAATAGCTAATGTTTCCAGAGCACTTATGCTCTATTGGGCACTGTTCTAAACACTTACACACAGGGCAGCTTATTTAATTCCCACAGCAGCCCAGAGGCAGCTACCCCTGTTGGTAGGTACTATTGTCATGATAGCTCCATTTTACAGATCAAGCAGCTGAGACACAAAGAGATTAGGTATCCTGCCTGAAGTCACAAAATGAGTGCTAGAGCACCACTTGGAGCTAGGCACCTTGACTCCAGAGCACACTCTCCTAACCACAAACCCATACTGCCACACTCCCTCCGTGGCTGGCGGTGGGGTGGGAACTCATCTTTTGCCGATTTGAAAGGGCTTTTATATAGTAAGAGAATTTTACCATTTTTGTCGTCCATATGTTACAGATTTTTTTTCCCATGGTTGTAACTTACCTATCCATTTTCTGACTTGCAGAACTTTAACACTTGTATGCAGTCAGACATAGCACTTTCATTCTTTACAGTTTCTGCCTTTGGAGTGGTACTTTCAAAAGCTTAAATAGATATTCACTGATAATATACTCTAACACTTTCCACGTCTCAATTTTTACATTTAACTAATTGCCTATCTGCAATTAATTTTAGTGTTTAATGTGAAGTATGTCACTTTATCTTTTCCGAACAGATTTTGTCCACTTCTCACTAAATTTATAACTTACGTGTGATAGTGTTTCTTCCTATTGCAAATGGTATCATTATCCCATTATATTGGGTAGTACCTGCTGCTAATATAAAAGGAAGCTGTTGATTTATACGTATTTATTTTAGTTTTAAAAACTATGTAAAAATGTAACATAAATTTACCACTTTTCCATGTCTATTTTTTAACTTGCACTTTGAAAGTTATCAAAAGGTTAATTTGTACAGAATGCACTTTGTAAGTTAAAAAATAGACATGTAAAAGTGGTAAATTTATGTTACATTTTTACCGTACTTTTTTTTTAATTTTTTATTGCATTTTAGGCTTTGGGGTACATGTGCAGAGCATGCAAGACAGTTGCATAGGTACACACATGGCAGTGTGTTTTGCTTCCTTTCTCCCCTTCACCCACATTTGGCATTTCTCCCCAGGCTATCCCTCCCCAGCTCCCCCGCCTCTGCTAGCCCTCCCCTTTTCTGCCCAACAGACCCCAGTGTTTAACACTCCCCTCCCTGTGTCCATGTGTTCTCATTTTTGATCACCCGCCTATGAGTGAGAATATGCGGTATTTCATTTTCTGTTCTTGTGTCAGTTTGCTGAGAATGATGTTCTCCAGATTCACCCATGTCCCTACAAACGACACGAACTCATCATTTCTGATTGCTGCATAATATTCCATGGTGTATATCTGCCACATTTTCCCAATCCAGTCTGTCATCAATGGGCATTTGGGTTGATTCCAGGTCTTTGCTATTGTAAACAGTGCTAATGTAAACAGTGCTGCAATGAACATTGGTGTGCATCTGTCCTTATAGTAGAACGATTTATACTCCTTTGGATATATACCCAGTAATGGGATTGCTGGGTCAAATGGAATTTCTATTTCTAAGGCCTTGAGGAATCGCCACACTGTCTTCCACAATGGTTGAACTAATTTACACTCCCACCAACAGTGTAAAAGTGTTCCTTTTCCTCCACATCTTCTCCAGCATCTGTTGTCTCCAGATTTTTTTTTTTAATTTTTTATTGGATTATAGGTTTTGGGGTACATGAGCAGAGCATGCAAGACAGTTGCGTAGGTACACACATGGCAGTGTGCTTTGCTTTTCTTCTCCCCTTCACCCACATTTGGCATTTCTCCCCAGGCTATCCCTCCCCACCTCCCCCTCCCACTGGCCCTCCCCTTTTCCCCCCAATAGACCCCAGTGTTTAGTACTCCCCTTTCTGTGTCCATGTGTTCTCATTTTTCATCACCCACCTATGAGTGAGAATATGCGGTGTTTCATTTTCTGTTCTTGTGTCAGTTTGCTGAGGATGATGTTTTCCAGATTCATCCATGTCCCTACAAACGACACGAACTCATCATTTCTGATTGCTGCATAATATTCCATGGTGTATATGTGCCACATTTTTCCAATCCAGTCTATTATCAATGGGCATTTGGGTTGATTCCAGGTCTTTGCTATTGTAAACAGTGCTGCAATGAACATTCGTGTACATGTGTCCTTATAGTAGAACGATTTATAGTCTTTTGGATATATACCCAGTAATGGGATTGCTGGGTCAAATGGAATTTCTATTTCTAAGGCCTTGAGGAATCGCCACACTGTCTTCCACAATGGTTGAACTAATTTACACTCCCACCAACAGTGTAAAAGTGTTCCTTTTTCTCCACATCCTCTCCAGCATCTGTTGTCTCCAGATTTTTTAATGATTGCCATTCTAACTGGCGTGAGATGGTATCTCAATGTGGTTTTGATTTGCATCTCTCAGATGACCAGTGATGAGCATTTTTTCATATGATATGTCTTCTTTTGTAAATTGTCTGTTCATATCCTTTACCCATTTTTTCCTGTAAATCTGTTTGAGTTCTTTGTAAATTCTGGATAGCAGCCCTTTGTAACATGGGTAAACTGCAAAAATTTTTTCCCATTCTGTTGGTTGCCGATCCACTCTAGTGACTGTTTCTTTTGCCGTGCAGAAGCTGTGGAGTTTCATTAGGTTTCATTTGTCTATTTTAGCTTTTGTTGCCAATGCTTTTGGTGTTTTGTTCATGAAGTCCTTGCCTACTCCTATGTCCTGGATAGTTTTGCCTAGATTTCCTTCTAGGGTTTTTATGGTGCCAGGTCTTATGTTTAAGTCTTTAATCCATCTGGAGTTAATTTTAGTGTAAGGTGTCAGGAAGGGGTCCAGTTTCTGCTTTCTGCACATGGCTAGCCAGTTTTCCAAACACCATTTATTAAACAGGGAATCCTTTCCCCATTGCTTGTCTTTGTCAAGTTTATCAAAGACTGTATGGTTGTAGATATGTTGTGTTGCCTCTGGTGTCTCTGTTTTGTTCCATTGGTCTATATCTCTGTTTTGGTACCAGTACCCTGCTGTTTTGATTACTGTAGCCTTGTAGTATAGTTTGAAATCCGGTAGTGTGATGCCCCCCGCTGTGTTCTTTTTGCTTAGAATTGACTTGGCTATGCAGGCTCTCTTTTGGTTCCATATTAAGTTCATGTTGGGTTTTTCCACGTCTGTGAAGAAAGTCAATGGTAGCTTGATGGGGATAGCATTGATTCTGTAAATTACTTTGGGCAGTATAGCCATTTTCACGATATTAATTCTTCCTAACCATGAACATGGAATGTTTCTCCATCTGTTTGTGTCCTCTCTTATTTTGTTGAGCAGTGCTTTGTAGTTTTCCTTGAAGAGGTCCCTTACATTCCTTGTGAGTTGTATTCCTAGGTATTTTATTCTTTTTGTAGCAATTGTGAATGGCCGTTCGTTCTTGATTTGGCTTTCTTTAAGTCTGTTATTGGTGTAGACGAATGCTTGTGATTTTTGCACATTGATTTTATATCCTGAGACTTTGCTGAAGTTGCTTATCAGTTTCAGGAGTTTTTGGGCTGAGGTGATGGGGTCTTCTAGGTATACTATCATGTCGTCTGCAAATAGAGACAATTTGGCTTCCACCTTTCCTATTTGAATACCCTTTATTTCTTTTTCTTGCCTGATTGCTCTGGCTAGAACTTCCAGTACTATATTGAATAGGAGTGGTGAAAGAGGGCATCCTTGTCTAGTGCCGGATTTCAAAGGGAATGCTTCCAGTTTTTGCCCATTCAGTATGATATTGGCTGTTGGTTTGTCATAAATAGCTTTTATTACTTTGAGATACATTCCATCGATACCGAGTTTATTGAGGGTTTTCAGCATAAAAGGCTGTTGAATTTTGTTGAATGCCTTCTCTTCGTCAATTGAGATAATCATGTGGTTTTTGTTTTTGGTTCTGTTTATGTGGTGAATTGCGTTTATAGACTTCTGTATGTTGAACCAGCCTTGCATCCCCGGGATGAATCCTACTTGATCGTGATGGATAAGATTTTTGATGTGCTGTTGCAATCGGCTTGCCAATATTTTATTGAAGATTTTTGCATCTATGTTCATCATGGATATTGGCCTGAAGTTTTCTTTTCTTGTTGGGTCTCTGCCAGGTTTTGATATCAGGATGATATTGGTCTCATAAAATGATTTGGGAAGTATTCCCTCTTTTTGGATTATTTGGAAGTTTCAGAAGGAATGGTACCAGCTCCTCTTTGTGTGTCTGGTAGAATTCGGCTGTGAACCCATCTGGACATGGGCTTTTTTTGTGTGGTAGGCTCTTAATTGCTGCCTCGACTTCTGACCTTGTTATTGGTCTATTCATAGTTTCAGCTTCCTCCTGGTTTAGGCTTGGGAGGACACAGGAGTCCAGGAATTTATCCATTTCTTCCAGGTTTACTAGTTTATGTACATAGAGTTGTTTGTAATATTCTCTGATGATGGTTTGAATTTCTGTGGAATCTGTGGTGATTTCCCCTTCATCATTTTTTATTGCATCTATTTGGTTGTTCTCTCTTTTCTTTTTAATCAATCTGGCTAGTGGTCTATTTTGTTGATCTTTTCAGAAAACTAGCTCTTGGATTTATTGATTTTTTGAAGGGTTTTTCGTTTCTCTATCACATTCAGTTCAGCTCTGATCTTAGTTATTTCTTGTCTTCTGCTGGGTTTTGAGTTTTTTTGATCTTGCTCCTCTAGCTCTTTCAATTTTGACGATAGGGTGTCAATTTTGGATCTCTCCATTCTCCTCATATGGGCACTTATTGCTATATGTTTTCCTCTAGAGACTGCTTTAAATGTGTCCCAGAGATTCTGGCATGTTGTGTCTTCGTTCTCATTGGTTTCGAAGAACTTCTTTATTTCTGTCTTCATTTCATTGTTTACCCAGTCAACATTCAAGAGCCAGTTGTTCAGTTTCCATGAAGCTGTGCAGTTCTGGATTGGTTTCTGAATTCTGAGTTCTAACTTGATTGCACTATGGTCTGAGAAACTGTTTGTTATGATTTCCGTTGTTTTACATTTGCTGAGGAGTGCTTTACTTCCAATTATGTGGTCAATTTTAGAGTAGGTGTGATGTGGTGCTGAGAAGAATGTATATTCTGTGGATTTGCGGTGGAGAGTTCTGTAAATGTCTATCAGGTTTGCTTGCTCCAGGTCTGAGTTCAAGCCCTGGATATCCTTGTTGATTTTCTGTCTGGTTGATCTGTCTAATATTGAGAGTGGAGTGTTAAAGCCTCCCACTATTATTGTGTGGGAGTCTAAGTCTCTTTGTAAGTCATTAAGAACTTGCCTTATATATCTTGGTGCTCCTGTATTTGGCCCATATATGTTTAGGATCGTTAGCTCTTCTTGTTGTATCGATCCTTTTACCATTATGTAATGGTCTTCTTTGTCTCTTTTGATCTTTTTTGCTTTAAAGTCTATTTTATCAGAGATGAGAATTGCAACTCCTGCTTTTTTTTGCTCTCCATTTACTTGGTAAATCTTCCTCCATCCCTTTATTTTGAGTCTTTGTGTATTCTTGCATGTGAGATGGGTTTCCTGGATACAGCACACTGATGGGTTTTGGATTTTTATCCAATTTGCCAGTCTGTGTGTTTTGATTGGTGCATTTAGTCCCTTTGCATTTAGGGTTAATATTGTATGTGTGAATTTGATACTGCTGTTTTGATGCTAGCTGGCTGTTTTGCCCATTCGTTGTTGTCGATTTTTCATTATGTTGATGTTCCTTAGCATTTAGTGTGATTTTGGAATGGCTGGTACTGGTTGTTCCTTTCTATGTGTAGTGCCTCTTTAAGGAGCTCTTGTAAAGCAGGCCTGGTGGTGACAAACTCTCTGAGTACTTGCTTGTTTGCAAAGGATTTTATTTTTCCTTCACTTATGAAGCTCAGTTTGGCTGGATTTGAAATTCTGGGTTGAAAGCTCTTTTCCTTAAGGATGTTGAATATTGGCCCCCACTCTCTTCTGGCTTGTAGTGTTTCTGCCGAGAGATCTGCTGTGAGTCTGATGGGCTTTCCTTTGTGGGTGACCCGACCTTTCTCTCTGGCTGCCCTTACTATTTTCTCCTTCATTTCAACCTTTTTGAATCTGACAATTATGTGCCTTGGGGTTGCTCTTCTTGTGGAATATCTTTGTGGTGTTCTCTGTATTTCCTGCATTTGAGTGTTGGCCTGTCTTGCTAGGTGGGGTAAATTTTCCTGGATAATATCCTGGAGTATTTTCCAGCTTGAATTCATTCTCTTCATCACATTCTGGTACGCCTATCAAACGTAGGTTTGGTCTCTTCACATAGTCCCACATTTCTTGGAGACTTTGTTCATTCCTTTTTGTGCTTTTTTCTCTGAATTTGGTTTCTCATTTTATTTCATTCAGTTGATCTTCGACTTCTGATATTCTTTCTTCTGCTTGGTCAATTCAGCTGTTGAAACTTGTGCATGCTTTTCGAAGTTCTCGTATTGTGTTTTTCAGCTCCTACCATAGTTTTTAAAACTAAAATAAATATGTATAAATCATACATATTTATGTATGATTTATGAATCAAATCTTCCTTTTATATTAGCAGCAGGTACTACCCAAGAGCTCTACATTTTGCTTTATCATTTGATTGATGTGGTTTATTCAAATAAGGATATTTAGGGGTACACATTTTCTGGATTATACCTGATCTGAAAATGTCTCTGCATACACACAAAAGACCATTTAGCTGGGTATTAGAATGCTTTTTCCTTGAAACTTGGAGGATATTACAGTAAAACATTTGATGCAGGCCCCATTTGTGCTCCTTTGCTGGTAGCTATTTTTCTCTTCCAGGACACTGTAAGATTCTGGTTTTCCTCTTCTTCTTGTAACTACCAATTTGAATGACCCTATGCTTACTCCAAAAGCAGTTTCCACATGAAGAGACCAGAAACATTGTGAACAATGACAGCATTATTAGAATAAATTCATAGCTTCTCAGTGTGACCCTTTCAAAAGGAACATATTTTAGTACACCAGATGTGAAAGTCAAAAGAGATCTCACAGGATCAAATATGAGTTGAATAAAATCAACTCTGAGCTTTCTTCCAACCCTGACATCATTATCACTTTCTGTGCAGAGATTCTGAAAACACAGTCACTATGCTTTATCATCATATGGGACTGGGGAAGGACTGGAAAACAAGATGCATAGGTCATTCCCAATAACACGCATACCTTAATTAACCTATTAACAGATGCAGAGACCTCCAGAGCTGAACAAGACATCAGATCATCTGGTCCAACCTCTCATTTTCTCTAGAAGGAAATTCAGGCCTCAGAGAGTTTGAATAACTTGCCCACGGCTGCCTGCCCAATGGCAAGTCGCCCATCCAAGCTTGGAACCCAGTCTTGGCTCTCTCTTATTAGGTTCACTCTCGAGCATCCTGTCTCCCCAGTCACTTAGCACAGTGCCTCACACATAGCAGTGCTCAGTATTCTCTGTAGAATTGAAATGAGTCAGATTCCCTAAGGAGGTGGGGCTCTGGAAAGGAATATTTTGATTGGGAGTGTAAATCGGGTGGTGGGAAAGGCTTGGAATGTGTTGAAAGACACACTGGGTTAGTGCATTCCAGAGATGTAGGGGCTTGGTGTTTCTTTTTGAAGAAAATGGCATCTCCCACAGTGGCCTGGGGGGAGACGGTGAAAACGTTACCTGCCTCCCTCACAGCCTCCTTCCCTGGACACATCCCGGATTGTGGACCACTTCATCCTAGATGTCCTCACCTACTATGTCCACATGGGCACCCAAACCCATTTACTTCCAGATCTATACAGTCAAGGTAAGCACCCCACTGGAGACTCCAAGTGTACTTGTCAGGCTGCTGGACCCCAGGACCCCACAGATTAAATACCCAGGCTCTGGGGAAACACTGGTCACCAGGCCACAAATTATGAACATACCCAGACATTCTTGGTTGTTAACATTATCTTCTTCATCTCTGAATGAACCATGTCATTATTAACTTCAAGACCTCAAATCCAAGAAATAGATCTTCTTTATGTGGAAGGGTTCTCCCTGGTCCCGGATCCCCAGAAATCAGAGAGAGAGAGAGAGAGTGAGAGAGAGATTTGGAAATCACACCAGGAAATATCACCCTCCCTCTCTCCAGATCTTCTTCAGTGACCTGAGCCAAGACCCTGCTGAGGACATTTTCCTCATTGAGCTCAAGGTGAAGATCCAAGATTCTAAATTCCCCAAAGGTAAACATCTGCTTCCCTTTTCCCAAAGGTCACAAAAGCCACCCCAACTCATCTTCTCCAAACTCTCATACTCCCGCCTCTCACCTGATGATGTCTGCACCCCCACAACCTCAGTGCTGCCCCTGCTCTGTTCCCTGCTTCTGCTGAATACCAGGGCTGCCCTTGATTCCCTCCAATGCCTCCCCAAGACTGAAAGGCAGCTTGGCTCCCTGACGCGTTGCCTTTCCATCCGGGGAGATGGATGGATGGGTAAACCCAGCAGCTCAGTTCCTGTTTTCAGAGAGGTGGGAAGTCAGGGTGAGAGGGCTGGGAATCTCCACACCAAGTCTCTTCTCATCTCCCTGCATATGGCTTTTCACCCAGGAGGAGAAGCGTGGCCAAGGGCCCAGGGGCAGAGCTCTCCCTGTGTTACCAGAAGGTCAGTGTGCATGGGCATAGTCAGCAGGTGGCTAAGACATACAGCTGGAGAGAACAGGCCTCAGGGACAAACAGTGAAGCAGACAGAGCCAAAGGAGTCTTCTGCCCTTTTCTTGAAGCTGCCTGCAGAGTTCCCCAGCCTTCAGGGAGTTTTACAGGGATGAGTGGTATTAAGTTGGCCTTACATATAGACAAAGAGGTGATCTAATTTAAGGAACAAGGGGGCTGACCCCTTGCTGAAAAATATTTTCCTTGCTAGCTGACCAGACGCTTGAACTGATTTCACTAGAGATTTATTCTTTGGGATCTGGAAAGCTGAATATACTCTCTAGGGCTAGCAGTGCTACAAGCCTTTATCTGCTGGCCCTTATGGGACCTCAGTGACATAGACAAAACAGGGCCTGGCACAGTGGCTCATGCCTGTAATCCCAGTGTTTTGGGAGGCTGAGGTGAAAGGATTCCTTGTGGTCAGGAGTTGAAGACTGGGGTGGGCAACATAATGAAACCCCTGGCTCAAAAACACAATAATAATAACAAAAAGACTCTCACAGTGGAGTTGGCAAACAGGGGAGAGAGGCAGAACTGTGGATGTGGGGATGCGTGGGGAAGGGGTATGTCCTGAAGACCCCACCTGTTCCTCAATACCCCTCCCCCAGGCCTTGCTCAGCCACTGGCCCCGAGAGGTCACTGTTTCCCTGTGGCCCACTGGGCTGGTCCTGAAGGCCATTCCAGCCAGCAACACAGAAGGTGAGGAACAGGGAATGCAGAGCAAAGAAAGAGAGAAGAGTTGAGAAGGGCGATGCTGGGGAGAGGACATAGTGACAGAAGGGGAAGCCCTCCTGGTCATGGAATTGGAGCTAGGTCCAGGGCTTGGTGACTGCCTTCAGGTTGCTTGCCATGGGGTCACCCAGACTCTAGCACTGGCCTCTGGACTGAGCCTCAGCAGCCCGGTGAGACAAAGCTGGAAGGTGGAGGGACTCCAGGGAGGAGTTGTAGTTGGCCTCCTGCCTCAGAATTGAGCCCATGGGGCTAATTGTATTCTGTTTGGAAATTCTGGACTTTGAATGTCATTCCAAAAGAAATAGAGACAATAGAAAATGCCAATTTATGTGCATATAGTAAATTATAAATATTAGTTCATATTATGAGCTCCCTGGTCTCCTGGAATAATGCAAAGGATGGCAATACAGGTCCCTAACATTGCAAACATGCACCAGGACCCAAACAGTGAAGCATGTGAACCCTAGGAGATAGATATTATTAGTCTCAGCAACTTTTTACTAGAGAGAAAACTGAAGGAAAGAGAATAATTCACCCAACATCACCTCTGTGAGGAAGACCCAAAACTGAAATTCAAACCCAGGTATTCTCATGCAAGAGTTTATGTTCCTTACCACTGCCCCCCAGAATTGCCAAATCTCAACAGGCTAGACTTGGGGATGTTATTGGGTGATGCTTGGAAAAGATCATTTCAGAGCAAACAAGAAAGTTCATCCGGGCAGAATTATATCTTGTTCACCATCTATTGCCTTTGTCCATGACATATCCTGGCATGTAGTAGATACTTTACCAATACTGTGTAATACATGAAATGCTATTTTACATTAAAAAATTTGTTTTAAAAATAAATGATCACATTTAGAATATTCCAGAAGAAATGTGGAATGAAAATACACATGAGCCAGGTTGGAATGCTTATGAGGAAGCCAACTCTGATCCCTCCTCTCCTATGCAACTGCGAGTATTTACTTAGTCTCTGAAGTCACTGTGGCTTTGCTAGCATTCCAATTATGACACCTTTCTGACAAAAATGCATTTGTGTTCATCATCACAATATTGATCAAGTATCTACTACATTCCAGGATATGTCATGGACAAAGGGAATAGATGGTGAACAAGATATAATTCTGCCCGGGTGAACTTTCTTGTTTGCTCTGAAATGATCTTCTCCAGGCATCACCCGGTAACATCCCCTAAATCTAGTCTGTTGAAATGTAGGCATCATAGTGTCACAATTTTCTCAGCAGCTAGCACAAAGAAGGAACTCAAGAAATTATATCACTTCCCCTTTTTTTTTTTTTGTGAGACAGAGTCTCACTCCATCACCCAGGCAGAAGTGCAGTGGTATGATCTTGGATCACTGCAACCTCTGCCTCCCAGGTTCGAGCAATTCTCCTATCTTAGCTTCCTGAGTAGCAGGGATTACAGGTGCATGCCACTATGCCTGGCTAATTTTTCTATTTTTAGTAGAGACAGAGTTTCACCATGTTGGTCAGGCTAGTCTCAAACCCCTGACCTTGTGATCCATCCACCTCGGCCTCCCAAAGTGCTGTGATTACAGGCATGAATCACTGTGCCTGGCCATCATTTCCTAGTAAAATTGCCTCCAGGCAAGTTGAATTTGTGGATGAAACATGAAACTCCATCACAGCAAGACACTCTTTACCCACAGTTCTTTAACACCGTGAAGGAGACAGGTAATTGAGGCAGCAGCTCTTAACCTAGAGGTGGCTCAGGAGCAGGCAGTCAAGGGCACGGGTCCAGAGCCAGATGGGCAGGGCTCACACCCCAGCTTTGCCACTATCTGTGTGACCTTAGGTGTGTGACTTGTATCCACTCCACCTGCTTTGTTTCCCCCATTTCTAAAATGGAGATAATAAATAGCTAATTTGTATGCATACAGCAAATGATAATGGTTAGCTCTTATTGTTCAAATTGTATTCTTTCCATTTCTCTCACAGACTGTCCCCCCTCCCAGCCCTAGTCTAGACCCTATCAGAACCCATCTGATGATGCCAGCAGCCTCCATACAGCACAGACTTCTATGAACCCTCTATAGTTGGCAGGGAGGAACTAAGCCTGGCAGCAGGCACACAGTAATGATTTTTGACACATTATACATTATTAAGCAACCCTGTCTCTACTAGAAATACACAAAAGAAGATTAGGCAGGTGTGGCAGTGCACATCTGTAATCCCAGCCACTCAGGAGGCTGAGGCAGGAGAGTCGCTTGAACCTGGGAGGCAGAGGTTGCAGTGACCGAGATCATGCCACTGCACTCCAGCCTGGGTGACAGAGTGAGACTTTGTCCCAAAAATAAATAAATAAATAAACCTATAATTAAAAAAAAGAAAGTCAGAGAAACACTCAACCTGTTGGCACTAATGCCCTCCTCACCCACTTGGTGCCTCTGTCCTGCACAACCTCCCTAGCTAGGTGCTTTGTATATTGTTAGCATGCCCAAGAGCTACAGAAGTTCAAGAGAACTTCTAGAACTTTATTCCTTTTTAAAAGGGGTGCAGGAGGAAATAATGAAAGGGTACTGGGTGGTGATTTAGCTTGGCGATGGCTGGTGACCTGAGGATACAGAAACTTGTGGATTCTTCAGGGAAGGAAGATGGACGATTGAGAAGGAGGTCCAACTTGGCTAGGACCAAGCAGATCCGGGAAGTGGGAGCCCAGGGAGGAGTGAGAGGGCTCGGGGTGTCAAGATGGGTTCATGGAGATCTTGAGACCTAGAATCTTAAACTCCTCTACTTTCCATGAGGTCCATTTACAGCCGCCCCCTGCCCCCACCAATCTCATTCAGTTTCAGGATCTCCTCATTGCCGCCTGCCTGCTGCTCCTGTCACAGACCACACGTGTCTGAATGTTAGCGTGACAGAGGTCGTCAAGTCCTCCAACTTGGTGGAAAGGTCCTTCTCTGTAAGTACTAAGTAGACTGGGAAAGGGAGACAGCCAGCTGGAACAGTGGCAGGTGGCTGGGAGCCCAGAGGGGAGGGTATTCAAAGAAGGAACTGACTTCCCAGCCTTCTGAGCCTTTGCTATTGGATCGGACCTTCTTGTTGGAAGGAATCTGCTTTTCAAGCAGTCTGTTTGAAGTGCAGAGTGCCCACTGGTATAAGGAAAGCCCTTTAAAAGTCAAAGCCCTAATCTCCATCTGCTGACCATTTGAGGACCCAAGACATACCCAGATTACTGCAAAATGCACCTAGGTTCTGTTATCCTAGGTGCCACAGCACAGCCAGACTCCCAAACAACAACAGCCCAACCTTTGACCATTTCAAACCAGCTCTTTCAATACCCTTGCCCTTTGCCCTTTTTCCTTTGCCCATATCAATACTTTTTTTCTTCTTGAGATGGAGTTTCACTTTGTCACCCAGGCTGGAGTGCAGTGGTGCAATCTTGGCTCACTGCAACGACCACCTCACAGGTTCAAGCGATTCTCCTGCCTCAGCCTCTCGAGTAGCTGTGATTATAGGCGCACATCACCACACCTGGCTAATTTTTTGTAATTTTAGTAGTGACAGGGTTTCGCCATGTTGACCAAGCTGTTCTCAAACTTCTGAACTAAGGTGATTCACCTGCCTCAGCCTCCCAAAGCACTGGGATTACAGGTGTGAGCCACCATGCCCAGTCAGTACTTACTGATACAGACTATCCATTTTCTCTCTACCTATGGCCTCTCTGGACTTCACCTTCCCTCAGCTTGGCTTTGGCACCCCATGATTGTGCCTGAACCACGTTCTCACTGATGTCCTCCCCTCCATGCCTCATCCATCAGTCTGACACTCTGATTTAGGTCAAGCCACCTACTTAGTCTGTATGCCCAGGTGGCCAAGTGCTTCTGGAATAACCCCTGCATCCCCATTGATCAGATCTGCAGCAAACTCATGACCTCCCTCTCACCCAGATCCTTGGGATCACTCAGCCCTTTCCTCACCCATCCCCTCCTGGCTCTTCTCTATCTGTTTGCAGTTCTCTTTCCCCTAGCTTTGACCTCTTCCTCTCCACTGCTCCTTCTGCTTAGCCTATACCTACTCAGGTCTTTTCCATCATAAAAGAAAAAAAAAGGGCAAAAAATCCCAACTCTCTCATGACCCAACTACCTCTCTAGCTACCCACTGCATCCCCTTCCTTCCCTTCTCAGTCAAGCTCCTTGAAAGATACAGCTCGAAGAGTATCCAACTCCTTATCAATGACTTCTACCCATGACCATCTGCTTACACAGGTCCCACTGTGGCAAAGTCGCCTCCATGTTGCCAAAACCAGTGGTCACTTTTTGGCCCTTATATTTCTTTATTTCTTAAGATAATGCTTCATTTTGTTTGTTTTTTTAGACAAAATGTCACTTTTTTGCCAAGTTGGAGGGCAGTGGCACAATCTTGGCTCACTGCAACCTCCAACTCCCTGGTTCAAGCAGTTCTCCTGCCTCAGCCTCCCGAGTACCTGGGATTACAGGCACACACCACTACAACCAGTTAATTTTTTTTTTAGTAGAGATGGGGTTTCACCATGTTGGCCAGGATGATCTCCATCTGCTGACCTTGTGATCTGCCCACCTCAGCCTCCCTTACAGGCATGAGGCACCATGCCCGACCAAGACAATGTTTTAACCTATACACAAAAGTTTCATTATTTATTTTGGAAAATACGGAAAAGCACAAAAAAAATACATTCACTAGTATTCTCAATCCCTGAAGAGGATGACTATTAACATTTTCAAGTGTAAACACCAAACCTTTTTTTCTAGATATTTTAAGATAATTGATAGCTACACTACATACTGGTCTGTACCTTGGTGTTTTTGCTCAAAAATATATTAAAACCTTGTAAATAGATCTTGATGGGACCTTGCTTTGGTCATTAAATATGTTTTGTATCATTAAGTACATGTCAGTATTTATTATACAATAGTTGCCTATACCTGTATAATTATGTAAATAAATTATAAGAAGACATTTAAGTTAGTTCTCATTTTTCACCATTACAAGCATAATGTGAGAAATTTTGTTAGGGGTAAATATGTGCTAAAAATCAGGTTATGTCTTTTTAGAAAAGTGCCTAGAAGTGAAATCATTCAGTTGGGTTGCATCATTTTTATATATTTTGCCAAACTTCTCTCCAGAAATTCTACACCAAGTTCCAATCTGATTGTAGTGTTTGAGTGACAGTTTTGCAGTACAATTCACATATTGATTGATTTTTTTCATCTTCCCAAATTTGATTTTCCAACTTTTCATTATTTTGTTTCTTTTATTACCGTTAGTGAAGTTGAATACTTTCTTGTATTTCTATTTCTTCATTCACGTAATTCCTGTTTATATTCTCATCCCATACTAATATCCTGTTGTATAGTGTGAGGACATTAACCCCTTATTTGTCATACATTTTGGAAATACTTTTCCCTGTTTATCTTTTGATGCTTTTTTAACCTAAAAGAACTTTATATTGTGATGTAGCAAAATCTACCAATCATTTTTCTTTAATGATTACTGACTCTGATATGATTAAAATTACATATATCTAAAGACCATATCTCCCTGAATTTAAGGCATACCATAATTTTACATATTACTAAGAAAGAAACAATGCTTTCTAAACTATGGGCAATGCTTTCTTATCACATTGGATGCAAAATACACCCTAATTTTAGCGATGCTAAAATGTGTTTTAGAATCAAAATGTCGTGCCTGTTTAGTAGTAGTATGCTGTTCCTTCCTTGTGGTTTTATTCTTTTATTTCTTTACTCATTCTAAACATTTTTAATTTTATGTAGAAAATAAAAAGTTCCTCTTCAAAGTTTTCCTTCTTATTAAAGAATAATAGTACTAAATGTCAGAAATAATAGTTTACTAACTTTCTTACAACGACTTCTTGCTTTTTGCTAATAACTTTGTTATGCCCTATCCACGTAGTACGTTCTATGTCCTTGTACTTTAACCAAGATATCTGTACTGGATGTGTTAACAAGCATGTCCCAGCTTGCAGCCTATGCCCCTTTGACTTCCTCTTTTCCTTTGTTCTCCATTGCCTTTACCTATTTATAAAAGTTTTCAGTTGTTAACTAATCAGGTTCAGTTTAGATTGTGCTAGCTCCAACCAACAGAGATCAGACACAGCAGTAAGGACTGAACGTGTAAGGAATAAATATGCCTGCCTTTCCTTTGTTCATTGTATGCTTGTGGCAAGATGGCTAACAAGTGGTACCCTTTCTGCAGAAAGTAAAATTGCCTTGCTGAGAAAAGTTTTTGTCTGAATGCTAATTTTTCTTTGTGGTACTTAGGAACAAGGATTCTGTCTCTAACATTTTATAATCTGATCTATGTAATTACATTATCTGTAATTACTGGGAGTCTAATCCTTCTGTTTACTGGGTTCACTGAACCCCTGCCCATGGTAGCTTAATTCCGTATTTTTCAGTTATGAGTTCATATTTCTTGGGGATTTGTCTGTGGGAAAACTGGTTGGAAAAATTGTTCTTCTAGCGAAATTCTGAATTTGTTTTTGCTAACTGTCTCAGAGATGTTATCAGCTCAGGACCATATTTTGGCTGAGAAATTTCCAGAGCGTGAAGATAATGTACATTTATACCTCAAATTCACATCAGGATGGGCTTGTAGCTAAGAATTTCCAGGAAAGGCTTGCCTTCCTTACTCATAGCACAAGCCAAAGTGGGTCGGCTTTTCCTCTGTGGTCTTCCCTATTTCTGTTTTTGTTTTTTCATTTGTTTCTTTTGTTTTATTTTGCTTTCTAGTCTTTCACTCAGAATGTAGCCTTCAAGAATACCTGCTTCATTCAGGCACACAGCATTGTCTACCATCTCACATGGCTATTTAAACCCAAGTCCTTTGATTCCTGATTATTAACAAACGTTCCTAGGACAGCCAAAGCATCTGACTTAGTAATTTCAACTTCTTTGGAATTTATTGACATTTTATTCATTGCCTGGTACATGATCAACTTTTTAATATTCAGTGGCAACTAAAAATATATGTTTGCTTTCTATACATAAAATATATGAAATATGATCTTTAGTTATTAAATCAAAAATATTATATTACTATAATCTGCAAATTTAAAATATTTTTTTGTCTACTTTATCTGGTCAAAACTGAAAGAGGTTTGTGGAGTTCCTGCTATGGTTTTGATTTTGTCAATTCTATCTGGATTTCTTTGAATGTGAACTTTCTTCTAGTTTTGATGCTGCTGTTATATAATATGATGCCTTCTTATGCCTAGTCTTTGTATGAGACTGTTTTTTTTTTCCTCTCTCTCTCTCTGGAAACCTTAGATAGTTTATTTCAGAGAAGATATCACAGGAATACACCTTGGTGGGATCTTTTTTCATTCATCATTTTGGACCTTTGATGGACATTCTCACTCTGGAGACTTGTATCTTTCAGTTACCAGATGCTTTCTAATACAATCTTTAAAATAATTTCCTTCCCTTTATTTCTTTGGTTTCTCTTCCTACTATAATTAGTAGGATGCTTGACCTCCTAGATTAATGCTTTAAGTGTCTCATCTTTTCTTTCCCATGGTCCTTCTCTTTGTCATTTCTTCAACTTTGGGGGAGTTTTCTTCAAATTCATTTACTGGTTATTTAAACTATTTAGAAACTCTTTGCTTCTGGTTATTCATTTTTAATAGCATTCTAGCTTCATGGATGTATCTCTGAAGATATTATTTATTTCAAATTTTATTCTGCTCTCTGAATTGTGTCTGTTTTCTTGGAATTCTTGTTTTCTGTTTGCTTGTTGTAGTATCTCTTAATGTTAGGTCTCTCTTAGTATGTTCTCTCGACTCGGCATGGTGGCTCACACCTGTAATCCCAGCACTTTGGGAGGCCAAGGAGGGTGGATAATGAGGTCAGGAGTTTGAGACCAGCCTGGCCAACATGGTGAAGCCCTGTCTCTACAAAA